TTTAAATTACTCCGATGGATTTTTGTATGTATTGATAGAACGTTTGTTTAAAATTGTTTTGAAAATGTTGTATATTCGGATACCAATCCAGTGGCACACCGGTCCGCTATCTCACGGGTTTGGGTTACGCGGGTTGGGGTGTTACATATATATATGATTATTTTACGCTGATGACATGATTATTTTCTCCTCTGGTGATTTCAGGTCTATTTCCAATTTGATGAAATTCCTCAATACATATCAACTTGTCTCAGGTCAAACCATTAACTATCATAAGAGCAGCTTTATGGTAGGAAAAAAAGTTAACACTTTGCAGATCACGAAGCTGGAAAATATCATGAATATGTCTCATAAAAAGTTTCCGTTCATCCACCTTGGCACTCCTATTGATCTTGGAATCACAAGGGCAGGTCACTGTGCGGGCCTTATTCAATCCTTTGACAGCAAACTGAATGGATGGTACCAGAGGAGCCTTGATCATGCTGGAAGACTAGTTCTCATCAACCACGTCCTGAACACCATTCCTAACTACTTCCTTGGTACCAACACCATTCCCACATCCATTTGTAACATGCTAGAACAGAAGATGGCACATTTTTTGTGGGGAGGTGGGAACAAACATCACTGGACGAAGTGGGAGGATCTTTGTCTCCCTAAAGAAGAAGGGGGCATTGGGACTAGAAGACTCAAAACCCTAGAAGCTGCTTTCTCCCTCAAACTATGGTGGAAGGTGCATCATGAGAATAGCATATGGGCTAGATTTATGAGGGCTAAATACTGGCGAGAAGGTAACATGGAAGCTCACTTGATTCACTCCTCAATTTGGAAGAGAATCACAAGAGTTGATGACCTTGCAAGCTCCCTTTGTGATTTCCAGGATGATGGCACTCCAATATGGAATCCCGAACCTCAGGGGTCTTTCTCTCTGAAATCAGCTTATAATCACTGTCGTGCCACTTCTAATGTCTCCAAAGTCTTCCAATTTATGTCGGATCCATCACAAAACCCTAAAGTTAGCATCTTTATGTGGAAGATTTATACACGATCTCTATCTACGCCAGACAATCTTCAAAAACTAGGCTTTCAGCTCCCCTCGGTTTGCCCTTTATGCATGCACGCCAACTACACCATTAAGCATTGTCTCATTGATTGTCCAAATATTACCATGATTTGGGAGCATTTCTCCAGGTGTCTTGGCTTTACTCACTCCTCCTCTCCTACCTTAAACCAACATCTCATGAATTGGTGGTTGAGAGGAAACAATAATATATATGGTTTTCTTAGAAAACATATTCGTTCTATCATATGCTGGCATATTTGGAAAGAGCTTAATGATATCATTCATGGTGAGATACACCGAGTAAATGCATATAAGCTGATTGACAAGATCTCCACCTACATTCGGCAATGGCTACTGGTCAAAACACCAAACAAAATTCGGACTCATGATGCATGGCTGTTTACCATGAAAATTATCCCACAGTTTACGAAAGAAAAGCAGGTGCGCATAATCAAATGGATGGCTCCTCCAACGGGCAGGCTCAAGCTTAATGTGGATGCATCATTCACTATATCTAACCAACGAGGGGCAGCCATATTGCGGGATGAGAATGGAAGATTTGTTAGGGCAGCTACTTTTAG